TTAAAACAAAAATCTTAAAAGGCAGCAGTCCTCAGTAGGTTACCTTTAAAGGTACTACTGAGAATTAGAACAAACATATAGCTTGAGGTTGCGGAATAGGGAATTTTTTATCTTCCCTTTTACGCAACCTCAAGCTATATATTTGTTCTAAATAAAAAAAAAAAGAACAAGACCATAAGACCGAATGAAATATTATTAAGAACGGAATGTTAACAGGAACAGTTTAAGTTGAGGCACAATCCAGAATAGAATGAAACTCTCCAATAAAACTGCTTGTTATCTGGTCAAGAAAGTGAAACAAGGGGGCGTGGCCTAACGAGCAACGCGGATGGTCGCTCGGATCTGAGCTCCGCATAACGCTGGCCCGACAAAGCAAAGATAAAAGCATTAATCAGCTCCCACAGACCCACCTGCGACCTGGCAACATGGCTAACACAACCAAGAAGAAGCAGGGCGAAAAAGCGGACCGTTCCGTTTTTTTTGCAGCCAGAGCGTCGACGCCTAAAGCCGCAGGCCTCACAGACGGAGACCAAGATGGCGACGGCGGGAACGACACAGTGCCACTACAGTCCTCCCCTGGGCCGCAAAATCTACCGGTCACACAAGATTTTCTGCAAAACTGCCTAGAGGATATGTCCACCAAAATCCTAACCTCCTTACAGAGCACTCTGAAAGAGCTCCGCAGAGATGTGCAGGAGCTGGGAGACAGGATGACACACGTGGAACAAAAGATGGAAGATCAGACTGCTGCACACAATGATGTGGCAGACCAAGTGCAGCATATGCAACAGCAACTGGAATACACACAGCGCAAGGTCATGGACCTGGAGGACCGCTCTAGACGCCAGAACCTGCGGCTCCGGGGTATCCCAGAAGAGGTGAAGCAGCCAGACCTGCATGCATTCCTGATCGGATATTTTAAAGAATTGGCGCCAGATTTACCTGCTGAGGTACTGCTCCTAGACAGATACCACAGAGTACAGAAGCCAACGTTCCTACCACAAGACACCCCTAGGGATGTGCTCACACACCTACACTATTTCCACGTGAAGGAGGCACTACTCCAAGCTACGAGAGGGGGTCGTGATCTGCCACAGAAATACAAAAACATCAAACTCTTCACAGACCTGTCAGCAGCCACGCTGCAAAAGAGAAAAGAATTTAAAGACGTCACGGAAGCACTGCGCCAGAACAACGTCCAATACAGATGGGGATATCCGATCCGTCTGCTGATACGGAGAAATGGTACGGTGACGGCAGCCAACACACCTGAAGAGGGACGGAGAATCCTGCGCAACTGGAACATCCCAGTGAACCCGGTGGGGAAGAATATGGCCGCACCAGCCAGGCTATCCCCGGAATGGAAAAGAACCAAGAAATGAACTGAACAATTACAATAAAGACTGTGAAGTACAACAGTCCGCAGTCCTGGCCACGGACGGGCAACAACTCGGCCGCAAGTATAATAGACATTGCACCACACCACGGAGTCGTATACACAATGCTAGATACCCACGCACACACGACAGACACACAGGCGACAGGGAACAAACACGGGGAAAATCTTAAAAAAAAAAAACACTTTTGCCCACCGAGAGGGCAGAGATATTACAAAGCACACCACTCAGGACAAGAAAGAGACACAAATGTGTTGCGCAAAAAAAAAAAAAAAAAATCCACGAAAGGAGAAGTATACTGCCATTATGATGCACACCATAATTAGGCATTACCAGGTCCTACACCAGGGCAGTTAAAGTACAGCTGCCTAAAGAAACATGACAGCAAATATCGGGCTCAGCAAGCTCACACATAAACCCTTACCCACAGAAACACACAAGGCAACCACGTCCACACACGGCACTATTTAGCTGGTGCCCAATCCTACATTGGGAAATGCAAATAATTGTTATTGTTCTTGTATATATGTTGATTGATGTAATGCTTCATTTGTTTGTTATGAACACCTGTTACGTTAGTGTTCATCACCGTCCAACCCACCCCACTCATCCCACCCCCACCAGTAGGGTACTAAAACCCAGGGTACTGAACAAAGCTGAAGAGCATGGGCAGCAAAGAGGGAACACAAGCACGCAGGGGAAACCGCAGGAAACCCAGTCGGCCGATTGGACCAGGGGCGGCAAAGACACGACACAAAAGTACAGTCTCAGAGCTAACGGGAGAGTAGGAAGGAATACAGGGAGAACCCAGCCAGATATAGGTCCGCATTGCCAAACAGCAATATACCCCATAAAACATGAAAATATATTGCCATAACGTAAAAGGGTTAAACATCCCAGTCAAAAGACACTGCCTAGTCCGGGATCTGCGCAGAGTACGCCCAGATGTGGTATGCCTACAAGAAACTCACCTCAAGCAGACGACGACCATAGCGCAGGCATACTTCCCCACGCAGTACCATAGCACCTATACGTCCAAAACAAGGGGGGTGTCAGTCCTAATCAGTAAGGATGTGTCCTTTAAGCTGATATATGAACACGTAGACAATCAAGGGCAATACATAATATTGGTCTGCGAAATTAACAATGCGGAATACACGATAATCAACATATACGCACCAAACACAAACCAAAGAAACTTCTTACATAAATTGCTCACACAGCTAGCACACCTACAAAGGGGAATCACTTTCATATGTGGGGACATGAATCATATTCTGGACCCACGATGGGACACGTCGGTCCCAACCCACACACCTAGAGCGGTAACACTGACGCGGGAATGCAAACCTCTAACACGACTGATGAGTGCGCACGATTTGTATGATGCATGGAGAGTGCTGCACCCGGAGGAGAGAGACTTCACTTTCTTCTCCCAAGCGCACAACACTTACTCACGCATAGATGGGTTTTACATAAAAGGCACATTCCTCAACCAACTAAAGGATTGCTCCATAGGCACCATCACGTGGTCAGACCACGCCCCTGTCACCTTAGAACTACATGACGCTTATGAATATAAGCATCGCAGCCCCTGGCGGCTCAACGAATCGATACTACACAACGAGCAGTTCGGCGAGCAATTAGCCGAAGAGATTAAGCAGTACTTTAAGACGAACACACACCCAGACACCTCCCCTGAAACCCTATGGCTAGCACATAAACCAGTAATCAGAGGATTGATCATAGGGAAAACCAGCGCGTTAAAGCAGAAATCACAAGCAAAACTAAAGGAACACTTGACAGCCCTCTACCGCCTTAATAAGCAAAACCAATTGACCCCAACACCGCTGTTAAAAACACTAATACAAGAAAAGTTAGAGGAAATCAAGACACATGACCTGGCGAAGATGGGATTTAGCCTTAGGAAACTCAAAGCAACACAATACACACAGGGGAACAGGGCAAGCAAACTTTTAGCCAGACGACTAACACAACAAAGCATAAAGGCAAAAATCCCATACCTGCTGAACTCACACGGGGAAAAAAAAGTGACACCAAAAGAAATAAGCGACATTTTTGCCGAATACTACACGACACTGTACAATATAAAGCAAGACCCTAACACAACACATCCAACTCCTGGACACATAGAGCGCTACTTGGACAACATAACCCTACCCTCTCTATCGGAGGAGCAAATAGAATCCCTACAAGTCCCCATCACCACAACGGAAGTCCTGCAAGCCATCACACGCTTACCCCCCGGGAAAGCACCCGGCCCTGACGGTCTTACGAACACATATTATAAGAAATATGCGGGAATACTAGCGCCACACCTGGCACACCTGTTTAACGCAGCAACCCAAAAAGGAGAGGCACCTGCGGAAATGCTGGGGGCCCACATAGTCACTCTACCCAAACCAGGAAAACCCCCCACCTGCAGTCAAAACTTTAGACCAATTTCATTGCTCAACACTGACACTAAACTATATGCTAAAATCCTAGCCACTAGACTGACCCACATCATCCCCACATTAATACATGACGATCAAGTGGGCTTCACCACTGGGCGACAAGGGTCGGACAACACAAGAAAAGTAGTGGACCT